CCTACGGGACCCAGCAGTACCGCTGCCTTTCCCCCGCCACTGTAGTCAACGGTACAGCAGCAGCAGCAGCAGCACACAATCACATCCAGCACCGCTGACATGACATGATATGAGTCATAATCCACTTGTACATGGACAATTTGGTCGTAGCTGGCAGCACAGACAAATGTAAAAGATCTGATCACGGCTGCAGTGACTGTTGTCATGCAGTAGGGTCTGCTGTTTCCAACATTAAAAACCTGAGGATTGGACTAAAGACAGAAGCACCAGAACAAACAAACCTACGTCAGAGTTAGATAACTGGTGAATTTCATCGATTTCAATACTTTGTTTTTACTCAAACAGGAAGTCCAGATATTGATGAAAATGACGATCTGATCACGGTGGAGTTTGATGACGGCGACACCGGTCGAATCCCTCTCTCTCACATCAGACTGCTGCCTCCAGACTACAAGATCCACTGTGAGCAAACACACTCCTCTCACTGCACCTCGTCACCCTTAAATCACACCTTGACTTGCGTGTTTGTTGGTGTGTACGTGTGTGTGTGCGGCAGGCCTCTCATATTGGCCGCTGCTTCTGCATGAATGCCATTTGGTTTATTAGCGTCTTCCTCCATAGATCGCTTTTACCATCAAGCTATTCCAGTGCATTACATTTGCATGTGTGTGTGTGTGTTCGTGTTCTTAAGTGGATGTGTCTGTGTGTGTTCGTGTTCTTAAGTGGATGTGAATATGTTCTCAGAACTAAAGCTTGGCTCAGGATTGGGTCGTGTTCTGCCTTAACAGGTTTTGAATTTAGGGAAGGAAATGGTTTGTTGTACTGAATGAAACTGAATGAAAAATGTAAAAAAGAAAAACACAGAATCTTCAGTCCCTGTCCTTCAACACCTCACCGCTAACTCCCAGCGTCTCTGTCTCTGTCCAGGCGCTGAACCGTCTCCTGCCCTGCTGGTGGCGAGCTGTTCCAGGAGGAGGGTCCGCAAGTGCAGCAAAGAAGCGGGAACAAAGACGGAGGAGACGACGCCGAAGATTAAAGGGAAACCTGGTCGAAAGCCCAAACCCAAACCTGGTGAGACGCCAACAGCTTGTTCATCAGTGTTGGGATATTTCCAAACTTTTTGGGATTCACAAGTTAAAAAAAATGACAATATTCTCTCATTAATATCGTTGCGAGTTCACTGAGGCCTTTAATTATACTCAAAATTAGAAGTAACTCTTTCCAAATGTTACATTATCATTTCTGGCAGAGAACTCTACAACGACACAACTGTGGTTTCTTTTCTTTTTTTTAATAAGAACCACAGGCATTTTAATTACAAGAATAATTTAGTGTTTCCCACAGGAGGTAAAAAAAAATAATAAAAGTGGTTCTTACAGTAAAGCCGATCCCACTTACTCTGACTTCTGTCATTTCTTCTTTTTTTTTTTTCACCTAATGTGAGTAACATGGGAGCAGCGAAGAACGCTTCTGTCGACACTCCTGTCATAAAGAGATGGATTTTACATGGTTTGGCTCGGTGCTCATGATGGAGGTTCAAATGTGTCTCTCTCCTGAGTGTCGTAGCAGGCAGAGAGAAATTGACTCGATTTCTCTTTATTGTTATGACATGGTGGTTTGTGCCCCCTCATTTCAACATATTAGTCACACAGACTTTTAAAATGTTCCACTCAAACATACTTCGGCTCATTATACTTTTCGTTGGTATAAAATAATGTTCTGATAAAAATAGCTCAGGGCTCAGGAAGGTGTGTTTTATCTGACACTTCATATTCGTGCGGTAGCTGTCAGGCAGTATATCATTTTAATACAGCCTCTCTGTTGCAGCTCGCCACACAGAGTCTCGTCTGATTTGCTGACGCCGGCCTTGTTTTCAACCGTATAAGCAGTTTACAAATTCAGTGTTTTCATTCCAAAATTGTTTCACTGCTGATTTGTCTTCTTGTCCGATGTGAACATCTGAGGCTGGGAACCACAAAAATGACAAGGCCACTCAGTGAAAATGTCAACACGTCTGTTTACACTGTACGTTGGCCTAAAATAGTAGCTATTAAATATTTTCCATTCTCTCTCTCTCTCTCTCCCTCCGTCAGAGGCTTCCTTGAACCCAGATAGCCGAGAGAAATCTGATCCTCCGCCTTCCTCCACCCAGTTGGCAGAGAGACCCCAGGCTCCGGCTAAGCCCACCCTGGACAGGAGCTCCTCTGTTCAGAAAGTGAGTCAGGAGAAGCCGCGTCCCGCATCCAGGCCAACAATAGGAGCGCAGTCAAAACCAGGCCGTAAAAGCTCCAACACATCCCCCACGAGAAGCCCTTCTCTACACAACCCGCTGCCCAGGAAGAACAGCTCGGGCCAGTCGTCCGTGTCTAAAGCTGCCCGCGCTCTTCCCCCCTCCCTCTATCCGTCTACTTATGGAAAAGTCCTGACTGTGGACCTGTACAGTGAACCAAACCTCAGCTCCTACAACAACCAGCGCAGGGAGAGCGGCAGTAGCATCAGTCCCACCACCAGTAGACCCATCTCCAGACCCATGTCGACATCTAATATACCCAGGGGCAGCACTTCCTCCACCCCCAGACCCTCGTCCACCTCCACACCCAAAATCAAATCCTCCTCAGACCATCACAGCAGCTCCAGACCCGGCCTCGGCTCAGGACTCTTGCCCAGTCCCATTTCCCGGCCTTTAACAAGTAAATCCAGCTCTTCTTTGGGCCCTCGACCATCGCCCTCATCATCTGGGCCCAGGCCGCAGCTCAAGATGCCGTCGGACCAGCTGAGCTCCGGCTGCAGACCCAAACCCAGCCCAGGCCAGAGTGACGGGGGCTCGTCAGTCAGGCGGAAGTCCCTGTCCGCAGAGCCCCTGGTGAAGCTGGACCATGAGGGGGTCACCTCTCCAAAGACAAAGAAGACCAAGGCTCTGATGCTGTTAGAGGGACGAGGCATCAGGCGAGACCCCACCCCCATCACCACCACCTCGGCCAATCAAAAACTGATGAAAGAAAAGCTGAGAGCTCCGGAGAGGGACAGTAACCTGTCTGAAAAAGACTCCAACTACAAGTCAGCCGTGCTGTCCAAGGAGAAGACAGACGGGCGTGGGAGTGTTGGAAGAGGACAGGAGATGGACGGCAGAGAGGAGACGGTCAAGAAGGAGGAACGAAGCGACGTGGAGAAAAGGAAGGAACGTACGGTGAAGGAAGAGTCGCAGAGCAGCAGTAGCTCAGAGTCGGAGGAGGAAAGTGAGAAAGGAAAGATGAAGAAAAAGAAGAAATGCTCCTCAAGCTGCACTTCCTCCTCTTCATCCTGCTCCGGTTCCTCTTCATCCTCCTCCTCGTCTTCATCTTCATCCTCATCTTCGTCCACTGACGACTCCTCGTGCAGCTCAGATGAAGAGAGGACTCCCACTCCTCCCCTGCCTGCCTCCCCACCCGCGGCTCAGACCAAGGTGAAAGAGGAGTCCAAGGAGGAAGATGATGTGAAAAAGGAGGTGGAGTTAAAGGTGGAGGAGGAGGAAGAGGAGCTGTCACCTCCCTCACACTCTCCATCACATTCTCCCTCGCAGTCTCCCTCACACTCTCCCTCTCAGTCTCCCTCTCAGTCTCCCTCTTGAATCGCCTCTCCCACCCCGGCTGCTTCTCCCACTAAACCTACTAAACCCACCACTGGGAAAGGCTCTGGTCAACGAGGACGTCCCCCGAAGCCCAAGCCCACTGGAGGAGAAGGAAAAGTGGGGAGGCCAAAGAGGAGAGAGGGGGTGCACCTCCCCACCACCAAGGAGCTGGCTAAACGTCAGAGGCTCCCCAGTGTGGAGAACAGGCCCAAAATCTCTGCCTTTCTTCCAGCCAGGCAGCTTTGGAAGTGGTTTGGGAAACCAACCCAGGTGAAGGAAAAAAAAATTGAATCTTAAAAATCTTTAAGACTTTAATCCTTTTCTAAACTTTGATCTTCTTTCCTTTGACACTGGGACTCCACCGCCTCCTGCAGAGACGTGGTATGAAGGGCAAGGCTAAGAAGCTCTTCTACAAGGCCATCGTTCGAGGCCGAGAGATGATCCGCATCGGCGACTGTGCCGTGTTCCTGTCCGCCGGCCGACCCAACCTGCCCTTCATCGGACGCATCCAGAGCATGTGGGAGTCCTGGGGCAGCAACATGGTGGTCCGAGTCAACTGGTTCTACCACCCAGAGGAGACCAACCCAGGCAAAAAACTCACCGACAAGAAGGTAGGAAGGCGGTTTGTGCAACGCAGCTGAGCGGCTGACTTTGAAACAATAAAACACCTGGGCTTCAAAACACAAACCAGAGCAGAGAAAGTTTAACTTTAACTTTGAAAACTTTAAAATTGAAAACTCTGTCTTTGTCTGCAGAACTGGGATCAGATTAAATTTGCCTAAAAAATATAATAGAAATAGGTAAGCAATCTGTGTCTTTGTCTGCAGAACTGGGATCAGATGTGTGGTCAGTCTTTACCAGCAGCTCTGCACTCTTCTATCCAGAGGAAAGACTTCATGGAGGTGAGAGGAAAACTGGAATATCTAATATAACCTCTGAAATTGAATACAGATTACAGAGCGTAGAATATTTTAATAATCCAGGATGCAGTTGTGTGTCATCTTGGATTTATTTTCAGAATTTAACTTTATTTACTGTGTAAGTTATACAGTGACTGGCTGACAGAGAGGAGCAGAATTTAACAAAATATTTTTTAATTTCTCTTTTTTTTCCAACTTTAGGAATTTCATTTTATTAACTTTATTTTATTGAACTTAATTTTCTCCATATTGCCAGGACTTTTAGAAGTTGCTCTTTAATATGTGGCAATAACCAAAGTGTGTGTGTGTGTGTGTGTCAGCGCGCCCTGTACCAGTCGTCTCACAGCGATGAGAACGACGTGCAGACCGTCAGCCACAAGTGCCTGGTGGTCAGCGTGGAGGAGTACGAGCAGATGACGCACACGCGTCGTTACGCCGACAGCGAAGACCTCTACTACCTGGCCGGCACCTACGAGCCCACCACGGGCATGATCTTCAACACGGATGGCGTCCCGGTCATATGTTAACAACGAAGGTTGTGATGTGACTCCGTACCTCTGGACCTCAGTCGGTGATCGAGGGTCGAACGAGGTCGACCGCTGCGGCTCCCGGCCGTTACAGCTACTACACAGACGGGAGACACTACAGACAGCACTGACAGTCGTGTTCCTTCTCTGACATTTGCACACAGACTCCATCGAACACACACTGTTTCACAGGACACACACACACACACACCTGCTTCATTCTTCTTATAAATGTAAATAAACGCTGCATCAACGCCCACATATTTACAGTCACACAGACACACATGTAAATATTCACTAACACACACACACACACACACACACAGTATGATGAGGCAAATCTGAGTGTTTTATATTCCTGTAATAGATTTAAGTCAGAGGACTTTTTACTAAACAGAGGTAAACAGTGGAGAAGCTTTAATGAACTGTGAATGAAGAGACAGGACAGACGAGCTGTGTCTGTCCATCTGTCCCCTCTGCCCCCCCCGACCCCCGACCCCATGTCTCACCCCAGCTCTGTGCGGACAGACGGACAGACAGACAGACAGACAGACACGTGTCGGTGATGTGGTGTTGTGATTCTGACGTTGCTGTGATGTTTCAGTCATGTTACACTTGTACAGATGTATCTATAGAACAGCAGGAGCGACACACGGATGCAAAAAGAGAAAAAATGAGATGCACAGAAAGAGAGAGAAAGAGAGGTAGAGACTCCCTCCATTACTGTTAAGAAGAGCACTTAAAAAAAAAAACTTCAGAGTGAGTCCTCCTGACAAATGCTTCTCTAATCCCACGTGACAATCCTACGTCGGGCAGGAAAACTGTCCGTTTGAGGCTAGAATTTTCGACTCCCTCAGACTCAGGCTGAAAAGAGAGAGAGAGAAAGAGAGGAAGGAACCGCGTGCCGTCAACGACACTTTTCATTTCAGTGTTTGATTTCGTTACCTTACAGGGGAAAAATCCACCCAGTGAATCAAACCCCCGCGTCTGGTCAAAGATTTCTGCTTAGTTTGTTGTTTTGCCCATTTTGCACTGAGGTTGAAGACGTGCTGCCTGTCGGCCATTTCTCCTCATGAAGAT